GCATTCCACTGTTGTGTATTTAAAAAATCATAATAAAATCAATTAAAAAAAAGAAGTACTATGCCCAGGTGATCAATCCAAAAATTTATTAGGGGAACTTATACTTAGGAGGGAGAAGTGGCAACATATCTTTGTGGATAACAGCCAGAAAGAGGGAGAGAGGGAGAGAGTCAGAGAAAAGAGAAGAGGAGAGAAGAAAGAAGAGAAGACCACTTTTCTGTTCCCCCAAATCAAGCCTAATCAAGGAGCAAGCCTGGACTGTAATGTCCAGATACATATTATCATGAAGGACACCAGCTTTCTCCTATGCACAGGGGGAACTAGACCAAGTTAATATTATCTATTAGAAAGCTAGTGACCAAGATTACTGTGGAAAGAATATATGCCACCTATTGCCACTAAACTCTTCTTGGAGGAGCCAATGATCATTTGTAAGTTTTCCCAATAAATCATGTCTTGCATGCTGTCTCTGGGCACTTTTTTTGACCTGTATGCCACTCACGACTCTGTCCTAGCACAATTGGATTGTGGATGCCACAAGTTTATATGAAGATTCAAGGAATTTGGCTCTGAGTTGTTTTGAGAAACAACCTACACACCTTTATTAGTGCCCAGGAATGCTCAAAAATTAAACTTGGGTTTAAGCAATGCCAGGAAAATCTTGCAATTGGATGGGTCACAGACCTGTCAAAGCACTCCATGTCTCCTGGTCAGAACAAGAGAAAAAGAGAGGCACCTGGGGAACTCTATACATCTGTTGAACAAGTCCTCACCCTCGAACAGAAGATATACTAGAGGGTATTTTAAAATACCGAGTTTATTTCTAACAAACACTAAATCTAGCCTAATCAAGGAGCAAGCCTTAATGTTGACTCACAGATATTACAGGCATCTATAGCAAAGTCTCCATATGAAGTGAACTAGTACAGTTTTGGTAAATCAAATAAAATCATAGTCATATTAATTGTCTGCTAACTTCAATTAGCTATACACATAACCTCACTTTTTCTTAGTAGAATCAAACTTTTAAATAGAGAAAGCATGAGAATAAATCACTAATAACATGAAGAACTCAGAAGATCATCTGGGAAATTTAGAAAGTGGACTTTCTAAAAGTCAATTTTAGAAGAGAAGTTCTTATGCAACCTACAGTAAACATAGCGAAAAATAAATTAAAACATGGAATTCGTTGTAAACATATCATCAAAATATTTCTACCAAAAAATATATGTAATATATTTTCTTTAAATCAGTTGAAGAAAAAATACCTTAAATTAAGAAACAAATATGATTTTGCTTATTCTATTTACTAATTCTGTTTACTCAAAATGACTTGAGTTTTGCTTAATTTTCAGCAGAAAATATTAAGGAAAAAACAAAAAAAATGGAACAAACACTTTGTAATAAAAGGTTCCCAAGCACAATTTTTTGTCAGGTAATATACTTACTTGACATTGTCAATGAAGATATACTTCCCTTAATCTACTTACCTGACATTGTTACTACAGATACTATTAAGAAAAGCATTTTTTGATTTTTGTTTTTTTTCAGGTGAACCTTCATTGACAATATCAGGTAAGTATGATGATGTTTTCATTCTTAATTTTTTGAGGAATCTCCATACTGCTTTCCAGAATGGTTGCAACAATTTGTAGTCCCACCAGCAATGTATGAGTGTGCCTTTGTCCCCACATCCTCACCAACATTTATTGTTATTTGTGTTTTTGATAATTGCCACTCTAACTAAATTGAGAAGGAATCTCAGTGTAGTTTTGACCTGTATTTCTCTAATTGCTGGAGATTTTGAGCATTTTTTTACACATTTGTTGACCATTAGAATTTCTTTTGATATGAATTTAACATAATCTGTGTCCTTCTGAAAGTTCATGGGTAGAGAATGTAGTTTCAAGTGTGGCAGTTACGAGAGGTGGGTGGACCTTTAAGAGGTGAAGCCTACTAAAGGATCCTTAGGTCACTGGGTGTGAGACAATTCTCTTGTGGACCACTGGTAATTTTTAGAAGAAATTTGGTATAAAAGGATCAAGTCTGACATCTCTGTTGCTCCTAGTTATCTGTGCCATAAGATGAAGCACTTCAAAGGAATCATTGCCATTAAGTTTGAACCATGACATTTGGACTTTGATCCTGTAAAACTTTGAGCAAAATAAACTATTTCTTCATAAGAAAGCTGTGTCAGGCATTTCATTACAGTAACACAAAATGGGCCAACATAATGACCCTGTAATTTAATATTGCAAAGTACTCAGAGACTTTAATTGATCCTTTTAAATTTCTTATTTTTTAATTAGTATTTCCCAGAGGATTTTTAAGTAGTGCAAGCACTGAATAGTCCTTTATGCATTCGATTATCATGTTTTACAGTTCTTGTAATTGTTACCTTGAAAATTGCTGTGGTCTGAATGTATCCAACTGAAGTACATGCATTGGAAATTTATTTCCCAAATCCATATGTTAGTAGTGTTTGGAGGTAAGACCTTTGGGAAGTAACTAGAATGTGATGGGGTTGTGAGATTGGTTCCCCCTGATGTCATTGGAGGCTTTATAAGAAAAAAAGAAAGACCAGCTGGCACACTCTCTCTGTCATCACCAGGTAATGCCCTCCACCATGTGATGATAAGGCAAGAATGCCCTCAGCAGAGGCCTTGGGACCTCTCAGCCTCCATAATTGTGGGCTTAGTAAATCTCTAATTCTTTATAAGTTGCCCAATATGGGGCATCCATTTAAACAGCAGAAAACTGAGACCAAAAAAAATTTTATAGTGTTTTAATGGTTTTAAATAGTAAATTAGTTTCACTGATATCCCACGTGTTTCATTTGAAGAGTCCAAAGAAGAAAACTTGGAATGGAATCACCATTTGACTCAGTCATCTTACTACTAGGTTTATGCCCAAAGGACTTAAAATCAGCATACATTGATGCAGTTAGCTCAATCCACAATAATTAAACTATTGAACCAACCTAGGTGAACTTCAATGACAGAATGGATAAAGAAACTGTAGTATGTATGCACAATGGAATATTTCTCAGCCTTAAAGAAGAATGAAATTATGGCATTTGCCCTTAAGTGAGTGAAATTGAAGAATACTGTGCTAAGTGAAATAAACCAATCCCAAAGAACAAAAAGCAGAATGTTTTCTCTGATATCTGAATGCTAATTCAAAATAAGATTGGGAGGAGAATAGAGGCATTTTGAACTAGTCATAGGGGAGTGAAGGGAGAGGAGGGGGCATGGTGGTAGAAATGATAATAGAATGAATCAGACATTATTACCCCATGTGCATACATGGTTACATGACCTATGTAATTCTTCATCATATATAACCAGCAAATGAGAAGTTATACTCCATTTATGTATGATGTGTCAAAATGCATTCTAATATCATGTGTAACTAATTAGAACAAATTTTTAAAAAGAGTCGAAAGAGTTAGAAGTATCCTATACTATCATTGTCAATTCCATCAACTATAAAATCCAACTCCCCATCCTATAGAGCAGTTATCCCAGGTATAATTATGTTTTTGCTACCATAATTTAGTGTTACCTAAGACTAGAGCAGAAAAGTAAAATCAGAAAAATAAACATGTTGTTTCTTGGACATGATACCAGTCAGTTATGTTAAATGCCAACTTCCCACAAAAACCACCAGAACAACCCACTTTTCAAGTAATATTTGTCAAACCAACTAGTATAAGAAAGAACCCATCTCAGCAGAGTCTAAGTAGCATCTAAAAAGGAAGAAATAATATGTTTGTAGGGTTTGAGGGGAGTGGATGCAGTGGTTTCAGTGTTCTTCTTAGTCAGGAAACTGAATACAGGCAAAGTTCATGACAATAGCTTAGACTGATTTTGGTAAAAGAATTTTAATGAGCAATTTCTTTTTTTGCTTTTGCAAGAAAACTGTTTGTTCAAGTGAAGAATTTACTGTCCTGAGAGGTGAGCTGTTTGCTTAAATTAGTATTCAAGAACTTCCTTAATTAAGAAATATAAATGCAAGTAGATTCAGTTCTTACTGAATTATAGTTGCATAATTCTAAGGTCATAATAATTTCTCCCTACACAGCATGATATTATTCTTCCTTTTGTTCTGACTTCTGTTGTTTCTGGGCTTTTTTCTTTTATTTAATGACATTATGTTCTACTTATGTATCACATTGCCTTTGCATATATCATTCTGTAGTTTCCCTGAAGTCTACCCAAAGTGGTTATGCACTTTTATCTAATCAGTATAAATCGCCTGGAGCACCCTTGTTTGTTTGCTTTTATATTTTGAAGATAAGCTTTATAAATCTGGGGAAAAATGCTATGATATCTTGAAGTGTTGCCATTTTGTCAAAGGGGAATGAAGAGAATGTCATTTGTGGCTTGATTGGAATAGGAAAGATAATAGAATGAACTGGACATTGCTTTCCTCTATGATATATAAATACAAGACCAATATAATTCCATATCATGTATAACCAGAAGAATGAGACGCTGTACTCCATATATGTATAATATGTCAAAATATATTCTACTGTCATGTATAACTAATAAAAACAAATAAAAATAAAATAAAATCAGGAAAAAAAATGTATTTTCACTTTGTGTTTCATTATTACTTAATTTTGTAAATTAAATTAGAGTGTTGTATTTCTCATACTGTAATGTGCATCTGAATCCCTGCTGAATATATCTTATTTTAAATTACTTTTATTTCTTATTTTTTCAGTACTGGGTATTGATCTCAGGGCTTCACATGTTAGGCAAGTGCTCTAAAAAAGTGGGAGTTTTTGCTATTGTATTTTCATTTTTGCTATTGCATTTACCTTATTCTCTCACAACTTACTCTTTCCTTCTCAAACTCTTCCTGATGTGACATTTATCAACTGACTTTGTATTTAACTTATGTGATTATAAAATTGTCCCAAACACTCTCTTAAGTTTTTTTTTAATTGTTATTTCCCCGTCGCCCAAGAATTCTCATCATGGTATTCTGTATTTTATCTTTTATTACCAAAAACTTTAAACATATAAACACATAAATGTAACACATATAATCCATGTTCCCATTACACACTTTAAATAAATATCAACTTATTTCCAATTTTAACTATACCCTCACTCACTTCACTAATTTCCATATAATATTAAAGCAAATTCTAAACATTGTAATTTCATTTACAAATTTATCAGTATATCTCAATAAAGAACAAGATTTTTCCAATATAGCTATGATATCATAATAAAACCAAAATTAATATTTCATTAATGTGATCAGAGGTACAGATAATACTAATATTTATAACTGTCTAAAATTGTCAAAATTATTTAATGGCTTATTGTTTTAAAAACATCCAAATATATAAATAGATTTTGACTGGATGATGTGTTAGTCATCTTTCCATTATTATAACATGAATATGAGTTTGTCAATTTATAAAGAGAAAAGTTATATTTTGGCTCACATATTTGGAGCTATGTGTGATCAGATGAACCTATTGGTTTTAGGCCTCAGGTAGGGAGGAAGCACATCATGGCTGGAGAAAAACCTTAGACCTCATGGCCCAGAAACAAAGGAGAGAAAGAAGTCCTATTATCCATTTTGAGGATACACTCACTATGACCTAAAGACCTCACACTAGCCTCACCTCCTAAAGCTTCTACCACCTCCCAATAGCAACAGACTTGGGACCAAGCCTTACTACATGGACCTATGGTGGAAATTTAGGATACAAACTACAATATTTTTTCCCAAGCCCCCAAAGGCACATGCAGAATAGATCCAGTCCATTTCCCAAGAGTTCCAGAGTCTGAACTATTGAAGAATTTCTCAAAAATCTCAGTCCAAAATCTTCTCTGAGACTCAAGGCAAACTCATTTCAGAGCACTGTAAAAGTAAAAGTGAAAGTTATATACTTCCGATATACAATGGAGGAACAGGCACAGGATAAACATTTTCCCATTCTAAAAAGGAAGAACAGGAAAAAAAAAATAAGGAGACCAAAGCAAGATTGAAACCCAATGAGGCAAACATTAAATCCTACAGCTCCAGGTTTGTCATTGAGGGTAAACTGTGGTGGGACGTGGGCTCCCAAGGGCTTGGGCTTCCCACCTTTATGGCCTTGCTGGCTGCAGCAGCCCAAATGACCTCTCTTAGGCTGGTTTTCTATGTCGTCTGCAGCTTCCCTTTGCAAGGGTTCCACATGCTGGCCTCCCTTATCTTCTTGGTTCTCCATTGTAGCTTCACTCTCACTGTTCCATATAGTACCTTGTCAAAGGTTGTTTGCCAGAACTATGACCCTGTGACACATTGCCTGGCTTCCTTTGAAATTTTGGTGGAAGTAAGTTATGACTCCATAACGCTGTGTTCTGCCTGCATCATGTGTGTGAAGCCAAAGTCTGTTGCCAGTGTAAGCTGTACTTTGGCCTGCTTGAGACCTGGCCATGCCAGTCTCTAAGTGCCTTGATGGCTGAACATGGGGAGATGATTTGCTAGGGTGCCCTTGGAGGCTCTTCTCAAAAAACTTTATCCTGAAGTCTTTCAAATAAATTTGTATCTCTAAATCTCTAAGCCTGTGATGACTGTGGTTTTGTTAATTCTTGAGATACTTTCAAGAATAGTCATCTTTCCAGTTGTCCGAAAACAAAGCACTTGGGTTAGCATCTGCAGCCTCCTGGTCCAAACCCTTATGCAAACTCATTTTCTGACCAAGGTGTGAATTTTTCAAATATTTCTGCTCTGCTCATTTTTTTGCTTCTGATTCCCATTCTAAATTTTACTAACATCAGCCACATCACCACCTGACTGTAGGGCTGCCTTGAAATTTCTTCATTCTAGATAAACAAGTCCATCACCTTTAAACTCAGCCTACCTCCAAGTCCCAAGGCATGGGCAAAAGGTACCCAACTTGCTTTGTCACTTCCATCCGAAACCTCATCAGCATAGTCTTTGTTGCCTGCATTCCTATTAACATTCTGCCTTTCTGAACTCCAACCAGAATTATCTGTTAAATTCATAATCATATAATACCAGTCCTTCATTTTTTTAAATTTCTTACATACATGACAATAGTTCAGTCCTTCATTTTACTAGCTTGCTTATTTTCATAAGCTTTTTAATTGCTGCAATCAAAATACCCAACAAGAACAGTCTTAGAGAAGGAAACCTTTATTTGGGGGGCTCATGATTTCAGAGGTCTGATTCCATAGACAGTAGATTCCCTTGCTCTTGGTCCAAGGCAAGGCAGAATACTATGACAAAAAAAGTGTGGTGAGGAAAGTGGCTTAGGATATTACACCAAGAAGCAGCAAGAGAGGTCTCCTCACCATGACAAAATATAAAACCCAAAGGCTTCCTCCCAATGACCCACCTTCTCTAGTAGCAGACTACCTGCCTATAGTTACTGTTAAGGTTTGCATGTGAGGTATCACCCAAAAGCTCATGTGTGAGACAATACAAGAAGGTTTAGAGGGGAAATAATTGGATTATGATAGCCTCAACCCAATCAGTGAATTAATCCTGTGATGAGATTAGCTGGGTGGGAGGTGAGGACGGGCAGGATATGACTGAGGAGGTGGATTATTGGGGGTATGCCTTTGGGGTATATATTTTGTATTTGGCAAGTGGAGTCTCTGTCTGCTTTCGATCGCCATGTGAGCTGCTTCCCTATGCCACACTATTCTGCCCTGATGTTCAGCCTCACTTCGAGCCCTAAGGAATGGAGCTGGATAACAAAGACTGAGACCTCTGAAACCATGAGCACTCAGATAAAGTTTTTCTCCCCTAAAATTGTTCTAGTCAGATATTTTAGTCACAGCAGCAAAAAATCTGACTAAAACAGTTACTACCCAGTTAATGGTTTTCAGTGGATTAAAGCACTGATTAGGTTAAGGTTTTCATAACAATCATTTCACCTCTAAACTTTCTCACATTATCTCAATCATGAGCTTTTGGGGGACACCTCACATCTAAATGTTAATTTTGATTATCCAAACTTTTTCCAAATTTCTTCCATAGACCAATTCCAAGGGCTCTTCCACATCATCAGGTATATGGCAACGGCAATGACTCCATTTCTTGTCATCAGTGTGCTGTGTTAGTTAGCTTTCCATTACTATAACAAATGCTTGAGTTGATCAACTGATAAAGAGTAAAAGAGTATTTTGTGTTTGCTGTTAGGAAGGTTTTACTCCATGATTAGGTGGACACATTACTCTTAGTCTCTGGAAGGGAGGTAGCACATCATGGTAGCAGTACATGGCAGAACAAAACTGCTTACCTTATGGTCAGAAAGTAAACTAGAGAAGAAGGGGCTGCTTTGTCCCTTCAGTGCACTATGACCCAAAGACCTCCTGCTATGCTCCTGCTCTTAAAGGTTCCACCACCTCCTAATAACACTAGGCTTTACCACAAAGAAACTTTGGTTGGGGTGGAAGGGAATTAAGATCCAAACCATAGCAGCCGATATGCTTTTATGTCTTCCTTTAACTATAATCTCTTCTTCATCTTCCATTTAATTTTTTTTAAAAAACTTTAATGAAGAATTTGAGACATTGGTTGTGCAATCTTCTATGTGTATATTTTTCTGATTCCATATCTGTTATTGTATTATATTATACTTTTTTTGATATATCCTAAAAATTGAAAATTGCAACAGAATTTTAATCAGACTGCAGTTTTTACTTATTGTTTATATATTTAGATAAGAAGACATAACAGGTAGTGTTTTTTTACATCTATAAAACTATAATCTCTTGTTATCACTCTTTCTGTAATATTAAAAGTCATTGATATTCAGTGACTAAGGTTATGAATATATGGTAATCACATGATGGGTTATTTCCAGCTCCCACTTCACCCCATGAATACCAAAATCTGTGGAAATCCCTTATATAAAATCATTTAGGCAGACGGAAAGTGGAGCCGCATGGAGATCAGCACAGAAAGCAGAGGCTTTGCTTGTGGGCCACCAGACTGAGCTCTGGACAAAGCACAAGGTCACCCCAGCACCCCCCACCTCACCAAACACCCTACACAGGAAACAGACGGAATCCATCTTGGAAAACCTTACTCGCCATCTATCAGTGGGCGTGGCTACCAGCGCGGTTCTGCGGCTGATCAAGTACCCGGTTCCCAACTCCCCTACCTCCAGCTGAGATAACTCAAGATTTTTCTCACAAGCTTTTTTTTTTTTTTTTTGGGGGGGGGGCATAGCTATCAATGCAGAATAGCAACTGTACAGGCACCTGGTTTCCATCTCAGAGACTAAGAGTAGGGAGGCTCCAGGTAGAAGTTCAAGTCCTCTCACACTGGCTACCTCCACCACCCTGAGCACAGAGATTTAAGCCAGAAATAGACAACCCCACCTATTGGAAGAAAAGAAAACAGAGTTCTGAGAGACTTTTCTTTTTTTCTTTTTTTCTTCTCTCTCTCTTCTCATCCAATCTCCTCTACCCTTCCCCATCAGGTCCTCACAACCTCTACATATGTGAAACCAAGAACTTTGCATGAAATAGGACTTTAACAACTGAATCACCAGAATAATATAATATAGAGGAATTTCATATGCTCCACCTCCACCCCCTTTTTTTTCCTTTAATTTTTTATTGTTGGTTGTTCAAAACATTACATAGTTCTTGACATATCATATTTCACACTTTGATTCAAGTGGGTTATGAACTCCCATTTTTACCCCGTATACAGATTGCAGCATCACATCGGTTACACATCCACTGTTTTACATATTGCTATACTAGTGTCTGTTGTATTCTGCTGCCTTTCCTATCCTCTACTATCCCCCATCCCCTCCCCTCCCATCTTCTCTCTCTACCCCATCTACTGTAATTCATTTCTCCCCCTTGTTTTTTCCCCCTTTCCCCTCACTTCCTCTTATATGTAATTTTTATAACCCTGAGGGTCTCCTTCCATTTCCATGCAATTTCCCTTCTCTTTCCTTTTCCCTCCCACCTCTCACCCCTGTTTAATGTTAATCTTCTTGTCATGCTCTTCCTCCCAACTCTGTTCTTAGTTACTCTCCTTATATCAAAGAAAACATTTGGCATTTGTTTTTTAGGGACTGGCTAGCTTCACTTAGCATAATCTGTTCTAATGCCATCCATTTCCCTGTAAATTCTATGATTTTGTCATTTTTTAATGCAGAGTAATACTCCATTGTGTATAAATGCCACATTTTTTTATCCATTCGTCTATTGAAGGGCATCTAGGTTGGTTCCACAGTCTTGCTATTGTGAACTGTGCTGCTATGAACATCGATGTAGCAGTGTCCCTGTAGCATGCTCTTTTTAGGTCTTTAGGGAATAGACCGAGAAGGGGAATAGCTGGGTCAAATGGTGGTTCCATTCCCAGCTTTCCAAGAAATCTCCATACTGCTTTCCAAATTGGCTGCACCAATCTGCAGTCCCACCAGCAATGTACAAGTGTTCCCCTTTCCCCACATCCTCGCCAGCAATTGTTGTTGTTTGACTTCATAATGGCTGCCAATCTTACTGGAGTGAGATGGTATCTTAGGGTGGTTTTGATTTGCATTTCTCTGACTGCTAGAGATGGTGAGCATTTTTTCATGTACTTATTGATTGATTGTATGTCCTCCTCTGAGAAGTGTCTGTTCAGGTCCTTGGCCCATTTGTTGATTGTCCACCCCCTTTTTTAAATTTTCTTTCTCCCTCTCTCTTTTTTTCTTTCTTTCCTTGTTATTTTTTTCTTCTTTCTCTCTCTATCCCACTTTCAACCTCCTAACTTTTACTATTTATACATAGGGAAATTTTCTAAATATAGATAGGAGTTTGAATTGATATATTCTTCTGTAAATTACCCATCTATTCATTAGAGTTCTCCTCCAAAGTTGCTAAGTTAGATTAACCCCATAC